GTTTAGATTTCACGCCTGTTACCTGTATGTAAACATAAACTACTCCTGCCTGTTGCTGAGGTGTTGACATGCCATTTGTCAGGAAACCCTATATGCAAGACATAACTGTATATACTAGATTTGCTATATGAAAATATCAGGTACACATACACAGAGATACACATCTGAAATCCTATCTCTCCTGTACATTCGAAAGGACCTTAGCGCGGTTCAATGTGTATATATAGTTGACCTACTTTTTGTGTGCTTTTAATATATTTTGCTTTGTCATTTTATTTATTTATTTATTTATTTATCTATTTTTCAGAATATTAGAAAGAACATGTTTAATTTACCCCCACGTCTTGTTTCTGACCTACATTCCGCCTAATCTGCCACAGTAGCTTCATATATATATTAACATTTTATTTGATTAGCCTTAATGAAGAATCCTTGAAGGACGAAACACCTGTGTGATAATATTTAATTCAATATTTTGTTGTAATTGCCATAAATTTAAAATTTAAAGTTATAGATGTTGTTCACTTGTATGTCTGTGGAATTGACAATATGAAATATGAAAATGCTACTCACTTGTACAATCCCTGAGAATTATCTCTGCAAGGGAGATGAAACTTGCATCGCTCTATAACTTTAGTATAATATTTTCAAATATGCTGGCAAGGTCAAACTTTGTCTTGATCAATCAAAAAAGCAACAAAAAAATAACAACATGTTAGCATAAGCATTGTCCAAACTCAAATTATAGAGAACTAGGACAAATATGAAAAAATAGAGATCTACACACAAACTCTTGCAAAGGAAAGTAAGACCAGGTATTGAAATATTTGCCAAGGCAAGTAAATCCTTGATAGGTATTAAATAATCTAAAACTTGAATTTTCTCGCTGTGTATCGCTGGTTTCATTCTTATTTCCGAGTATCGTGGCCAACAATATTCACTGGCTATATTGTTATTATTTATCTTATAACCAATCATAGATAAATGAAATGCAAGATTTGATACAAAGACATAAAACACAATTGGCACAAGAACGCTCATAAAACGATAATTGAAATGCGTTTCTGACTTAAACTTTCAATTTCTGTTATTTAGCCACTTTTTAAAAACCCTAAATAACGACAAAACCTATCTAAAATTAAAAAAACTTAAATATTTTATAAAGGATTTTTTCGTTTCATATTTTTCATATTTTTTACTTTGTTTGCCTGTTAGATGAATTCAAATTCTTACGTAAAATATTTCAACATCTTGTAGAAACAGGTTCTAGATGGAATAGGTAGAAATACGGACCAATACATTTGAATACATTTGAAATAGGAATCGCTCTATTAATGTTGAACATCTAAGAAGTCATGGATATAAGAAAAACAAAAAGGGCAACACAAAATCGTGCTGTTAAAGCATATTTGTTAAAACACTTGCACTAGGTGTACACGAGATCAATTCACCACCTTTATCTCACAAGGATGGAGTAACTAATATATATTTCATGCACCACATATGACATGAAATACAAAAGACGGTCATAAAGAGGTGCTAAGAAGGCCTAGCGACGGTAATTAACTGGTACAGTGTAGCCAGAATACTAAAGCAGAGATCAATCAATGTCACAGCGGACAGGTGGCTTGTACAGTGACAGGCATACCTGTCATTAGTCCTTAGAGAATAGGTGTGTTGACAGACATCTCTTAGTGATTATACGCAAGGTACTAAGGTAGCTTGCTCGTACATATGTCATTAGGTCCGATGTCAGTTTTTATGTTTGTCAATAAATCCATTGTTTCTTTGTTTTACCTGTACACATTGTACAAGTGTTGCTAATGTATCGAAGTATTGCACACAAGACACAACACCTATTAACACTTCCCAACAGAATTCTAGAATTAGAGTGTATTCGAAGCATGTTTTAAACTTCATCATATATCTGTTTCCTCGCTTTAGAAATCGTCAGGGATATTTGAGCCTAAAAACATTAAACGTAGGAAGCGAAAGAGGAACTTAACTTCAAAGATTCTTGAAGGGAATGTCGAAAAGTTCAGTTTTATTTTGCCATCTGTCTAGATATTACAAGCAATTCAGATAACAATAATTGTCATATAAGTTACATATTTTAAAACTTGCAACTTACAAGTTATATTCATCAGTGACTTAAACTGTATACCGTTACCGAAAAAGATTATATAGGATCTAATGTTTCGAATTGGTGTGTGATTTATGTAAACTTATTACGAAATTCTTAAATCACATAACATGTTGATTAAGTAATATAAGATATTTTGATCACATGACCGATTTTTTCTGGAACAAAATTGTACAAAACGGGCACTACTATGTGAAGCATACAGTCGTTTTAGCCTTATACCTTTCTCCATTGATGCGTCACAATGCACTCTGATTGTGTGACATCCTTTAATTATATAAGCATGACATCACAATAATTTTTTTCAGATATGTAATGCAAATATATGTTTATTCGGTGAAATCCGGGACAATCAGTCGATAAAATCGATATCATCTTCATTTTTTTTCATTCTTTTTCAGTTTGAGAATTGTACAGTCGTCAAAGTGATATCATTAAGAAATAGTCTATTTCTTCGTGTAATATGAAGCTGGACGTGTGTGATGCTCGTCAGTTTGCCTGTTGTTGTATACCTTTTTCTAATTTGAGAACGTGACATTTCTTATTTGGATTGACCAATGTTTTCATAAAGGAAGTCACCGATGTAGCAGAAGACGCTTATTCTTCAGGAACACATGGACTTATACTCATTGTACTTTGTTAGGAGTCTCCGTGTAAATATTTCTTTTGTTCATAGTTTGCCCTTTTTTAATAGAATATGAGTTTTGAAAATAATTATGTCGACATATTGATATTTTCTTGAATTTTATGTTACCATGAAAATTCCTGATAAATGCTCATGCCACATTTTAAAGAGTCAATTGCTTCTACGGCATATGAATACTACGTTGCCCATGAAATCATAATAATAATAGCGCACATGCATAAAGCTTCATGAAGAATTTCTTATAATTAAAAAGATATATGAAAAGTATTATAAAAAACCACTTTGTTGACACCCCCCCTCCCCAAAAAAAAAAAAAAAAAAAAAAGAAAAAAAAACGGGTGTAAACAAATAAAAAGTAAAAACTAATTTGAAACAGAAAAACAAACATCGTTTTATTGAATATTTCCATACATTAATAACTGATGTTTGAAAATAGTCTTAAATGACGTCAAATATGGTCTGTACATATTTTATAATGTTCACTGCATCGTGATAACATAGCGTAACGATTAAACATAATTCATATTCTATTTGGAAGTATAAAATGTGTACGCAAATTATTCTTTTGTGCCAGGTAAATGAATATTGACATGTATTTTTATATTATTACGTAATCAAGCTGTCATAGCGGATGACCTGATATAATTTTCTATAAATCTAAGTGAGTTTCAAAAACGAAGATCTATTTTTTTTCTTCAAAATTTCTAAAAATGTACTATAACGAGGCGCCGGAAAAAGAATATGAAGGATGTTATTGGTATTTTTGTGATTGTCATAATGATGATTTACCTGGTACAATCATGAATATTTCGTTTCAATATCAAGTATATATCACATTAAAGATACATAAGATTATAATATCTAGTAAGTGTATATCATTTATTGCCTGATCGTTCTTGACCTATTTATACTCCAAATATCTTAAAACACATTAGTGTCAAAGAAGATATAGCACTTTTTATATTACTTCACAACAATTACTAAAGGCAACATGAATCCGGTATATGAATAAAGAAAATCGGTTACATCTGCAACAAAGATACCATAATAACCATATCTCTAAATCTTTACAAGAGGAACCTTCGCTCAATCATTAAGTAAATCCACTCTTTACACAGTTTACAAATAAACAGCTTTCACATCAATATTAAGTCCATTTTGTTGAATTTATGTTGTTAGTATTGCAAATTAGGTAGAAATTAGATATATACCTTTTACGGTGAGAATTGTTCTCGTCAGATTTGTCTGTACAAAGAACCCAGTTATATATTTATAATATATTTTGTAAAACAAAACCCCTATTGTTGTAACAATAATTTAAAAAATAATTGTGGTGAAACGTATTAAGACTTTTCAACTTTAACATCTGAAACATGTAAACAAACGCCAACACTGTATTAGGGTCTGTATTGCAGTTTACATTGACAGTGTCTTGTTCTAACTTTGCCTACGTTTAAGGAAAAAATACTACAAATTTTAATTTTATTAATATCGTCATATCTTCTCGACCAATCATTGTATGTTATTAGAAATAAGTATTTTTTTCATAGGGAAAATATTTATTTGAATATGGATCATTTTAATTAAAAAATCGTGGTGATCGGAGGTCACCAATAAAATCCCTCAGAATAATTTTCCATCAAATACCAACTGTTTGGCCACGCACACATCTTGATTTCGTAAAACGAAAGTAGTTTCACTTAGATTGTTTTTCCTCATTTAGCAAACATAAAACAACATAAATAACCACTTATAAATGATCATTTCGTTTTTACGAAATATATGCTGTGAAACTGAGATTCCATGATAACTACATTAGTTATGCTTGTGGATTAACACAAAGCTTCAATTTCACATGTTACAGTATACAATAGTTACAGAAATACAATCAAAGATTAGTCTTTTAACAATAATGTTTTCCATATAGCTTTATAAGTTCGAAGAAAATATTGCTATATGTATCATATGTAATATTGACATTACAGAGATGTTAATATATGATCGACAAGGCATTTGCCTAAAGAATATTTCATTATGAATCCGTGACCAGCTTCATCGAGTTGACATGTAGGATTCCTCTTCTGTACTATACTGTAACTTAGTGTACTTATATTTCCATGACAACATGGCTTTAGTTTTGTGCCACATTGTAAGTACTAACGCTAGAACTACCAATAGTAACGCTAGTACAGGGAATAACATATAGGACAGTCATGCTATCGTATGGCGACCGGACGACGTACGCTTCGCCCTAGGAAGTTGTTTAATTTGCATTCCGTTCGGTGACTGTATTTTTAATGCCTCAGAAAAGATGTTGTTTAGGTTCGGTTCAATGCGTTTCCTGTTTTCTTCTACTGGCATTATGTCTTGTCCAAACATTGGCATGAAAGGAGAAATATCTAATAGGTTACTTCCTGGTAAGTGTTCGCTTCTGTAATGGTTTTCAATATTCGTAGTAGCTGTGGGGCTTTTCATGGTAATGGAGAATGCGGCTGTTGTATGTTGATGATTTCCTGGACGACCAGTCACCATTAGTCTACTTTCCGGTAGGTGAGTTGTTTTGCTTGTTGTAATCTTCGGTCTAAACCTTACAGTTGTCTCCCTTTGGTAACTTGACGGGCCATGATGAATATGGTCGATTTTGTTATGTCCCTTAACGTGATGCTGACCACTTTTGTCCCATACCTGTGTGCCGTAGACAGCAAAATGGCTGTTTTTCTGTCCATTTTGCAGACTAAAAACTGCGGTGTGTGCTGGTGTTGTCACTACCGTTTTCTCCGTCGTTGTTGTTAACTGCTCAGTTTTTCGTGTGGTTTTCAGCATTCTGTCCATAAATCTGTGATTATTTGTCCTGTCGAAGTGACCACTTGAAGGTATACGGAGCATGTTCAAACGTCTCGCAGATTCATCCCCGAAACTGATGTCCCCGTTAACAGAGGTCAACGAAAATCGAGCAGGTAGACCGCTTTCGTGCGTCACCTCTGGTACCAGATACTCTTTAGTAACGCGGATAGTTGTTGGTTTGGTGACACCAGAAGTAAGGTACACTCGCCGCGTTGTCTTAGAGGTATTTGGGGTAGAATTATAAGGTGAAGTTTGATGTCGACTTGTTGTTGTTGTCGTTGATACTGTTGTTCGTGTCGTCTTCGACGTGGCTGCTGCAGGAGTCGATTTATTGTTAGCGAAAATATCAGCCAACCTTTTAAGAATATCATTACTGTTTGGCAATGTATGCAAGAACGAATGGATGTCCTCAATAGACAGGGGTTTAACCATAGTGTCATTGCTCGCAGTAGGATTTGTATCGTTATTTGCCAGAAAGTAAGAACTGTTACTCATAGGCGGTGTCGTAACAGGCGGAGAAGGAGTTGTCGAACTCCGAGTAAATCTGGTCTGACGAGTTGTACCGTAAGTTGATCTCCTATGGATAGAATCATGATGGGTCTTACTTTCATTAGACCTTTTATTTTCAAGTTTAACTAATTCGTTTAATACACTGTTGACCACCAGTTCTGTACCTTGTTGTTTCTTGTGTGCTTTGTCCATTGCGTGCAAGTTCTTTCCATACTCTATAACCGCTAGCCTATTGATGAGATCTTGTATCATATTGGTGTTCCGTACAAGATCTTGTCGCATGCCTCCATAGAACGGGTCTATAATATTGATTGTTTCCACGCTACCAGTGTTATTAGACTCGTCTTCATCGTTGTCTTCATTTACCGGTTTCTTTGTGGTTGTTGACTCGTTGGTGGTAACAAGGATATCGGTTATCAGAAATTTAGGAGTGTTTGGTGTTGTTGGTACAACAGTAGAAGGCATCATTGCTGCGGTCACAGGTAGCAAAGCTGCAGAAGGTACAGTTGGAGCGGTTGGTAGTGCACCAGCGTCGAGACCGGCATTTGGGGGCGTCGCATCAAGACTAGTACCATTTATCTCAATTTCTTCTGGAATATCAGTAACTCCTGTGTTTATTTCCGGTTCCATTTCCCCATATATAGGAGTCTTTGCAATTGGCTTTTTGTTAACGGCGGTATTTAACGAAACTGTTTGGCTGTTGATGACCGAACCAAGAGGGACAGACAAGGGGGGTTGTGGACCCTGTGACGGTGTATCGTATAAAGCCATTATTCCTGTCCGGTTTTCGTTACCAAAAGGACTAACAGTCACTGCCTCACGAAGACTTATAACTCTAACTCCACCCATTCCATCAGGGACAATCTTCACTCCTTTGGAGTTAGGGTCTATCTGGATGACCATTCGCTTTGGATCAGGCGTTGACATGCTATTTGGTGATTGAGTCACTGGGGCAGCCGGTGCGATTCCGTGGAATGTCTGACCACCTATCGTTCCAACTGAACCTGTAGGGGATTGATTAGAGGTTACAACACTTGATGGTTGACCAGTAAGAATTCTGTGGATATCGTGAACCGTCTGGGCATTTCCAAGTCTGCTCAATACATGAGCTGAAAGAGCATTCAGTGGTTTAGAATTTAAGATATTTGATACCGGTTGTGTATTTGAGTCACCAGTCGCTAGACCTGCTCGTTGATTGACTGTTTGGTGTAATGGTTGCGTGAAGGTGGCTTCCTCTCTTGTCGGAAGCAGTTGCTGCTGAGACTGTATATTCGAATGTGATGCAGGAGCTTGCCCAGGCATCCCTCCAGCATGATTATTTATTACTGATTGAACTTGACCTGATATCAATTGAGGATTTAAAGCTTGATTGACATTTTGGTTTTGATGAATGATACCAGAAGTTTGTATATGGTTATTTTGGAACGTTTGACTTTGTAACTTGTCCAGTGGCTGAGGTGTAATAAACTGACCAGCAGAACCAGGACTTCCGATGACGATTGGGCCTTGAGCCACCTGACCTTGAACTTGTTGAACTTGAGTAAGATCTTGCACTGGCGCATTTGGAATCGGAAAACTTTGTTGCATGTCATTAATGTTTGAAGAAAATCGATTTTGATTCACACCAACGACTTGAGTAGGACCTACTTGCGTTTGTGATACCCCGAGAGATTGTCGCTCTAATCCGCCGTTCTGAATTCCAAGCTGTTGGGGGTTTACTCCAATATGTTGCTGTACTGGTCCGCTGTGATGTACAGGAGTATGGACTTGATTTTGTTGAATGCCTGTTTGTTGTGGCTGATTCCCAGACTGTATAGATATGCTTGCACCTGCTGGCTGAGCAACACCCGTATGGATATTGTGTATAATGCTGGATCCTAATGTTGGTCGAAGATCGAATGTTCCTGCATTCCTAGTCTCTTGCAATGGAATACCAGCAATGGCTGCTTGGGGGCTCAGAGGCTGTTGAGGGATTTGCATTGTGTTTGAACCAATTATTGGCTGCATTACGCCCTCATTGTTACTGTTGACAAATGTCGGTTGAGCTTGTTGACTCTGATGTTGGTGTTGCCATGATAAGTCCTGGGTTGGTTGAATGGATTGTTGCACTTGTTGAACTGGCGAATGACCCTGGCTCTGAACCACGTGTCCGAAAACATTACTTGCTGAATTGCCTTGAATAATCTGATCATTCCTAAGGATAGGATCAACGGCTACGGATTCTGTCTGAAACTGTCCTGATATTTGACCCTGTACTGACATTTGACCCTGTCCTTGACCAGTGTTTAAAACATTCTGTCTAATACTAACGACTGAGTCGACTGGTCGTGTTTGAGTCTGTATTCCTTGCATATCTGTGACGATCCTTTGATCGTTTGTTTGCATCTGATCGTTCATTACACCAACAGCCGTCCTGCCGTTGGTAACGTGATCGTGTATACCAATGATAGGACCTTGTGAAAATGTCTGAGGGATGTCTGGAGCAATCTGGTTTTGTTGACGCGACACAAACTGATCCAGATTATGAATTATGGGCTGATTTCTCGTTGATAATGGTACAGCAAGATCAAGTGAATTTTGTGATAAAAGATCATTTATTGCCATGGAGGGACTAGCTTGATTGTTATTTCCGGATACGGATACATCCTGAGGGTCAGACGAAAAACCATTCGAAATAAGTCCATCTGTCTGTAGCAAATTGTCTTGAATTGCGAATTGCGGGTCATTGATACCTAACCCAGCGTCATTAAATGTTGGCCGAATAATTGGCTGTATCCTGTCGACAGATATGACTCTCTGAGGTCCTCGACTGCCAAACCTTTGACCAGGTGATGCTCTCCTAGAACTACTTTCAGACACACGTTGATTCACTGCTATACCGCTACCACCAGAAGAGCTTGAACCAGATGAACTAGATCTGCGCCCGGAAGATTGTCTGGTGTTGGTGGAACTTGCTCCGTTCGCCATACTCATTCCGACACCAACGCCTACTGATGCCGGCATAGATGCTTTAAGTTCTTTTAGAAATCTATTAACTGATGGAGGTAGAACATTATTACCAACAATACCGGATCCCGAATTAGTATTACCGCTACGAGTGTTTTGGCGGCTTCGCTCATTACTCCCTCTTATTCTTTGGGAAGATGATGTTCGTGTTTGCTGTACTCTATTTGACCTTTGACCAGTATTCCTACGTGAGGATGTCTGTCCTGAGTTTAATCGAGAGGATACCCTATTCACCCCTACAGAACTACCACGTGATGACAGTTTGGAGGTCCCGCGTGACGAGTCCCTTGATGTTGTGCCGGCCTGTGAAGATGAGGCTCGCGAGGAAGATGACCGCAACGATGATCCACGCGACATACCACGTGATGAAACTCGCGTTCCGGTGGAAGACGGATCACGCACTGCAACTCCTGATGAAGATGAACTACGTGCACTGCTCCGAGACGAATCAGTCGGGCGTAATTGTTCACTACGTTGGGGGAATCTCGCCACTGAAGATCCACCCGCTCGTGAAGACACACGAGACGACACACCAGAACGAGAAGACAATCTTGATCGTACAGCAACACCCTCACGCGCAGGCGTGTTAGCAACGCCTCCACGAGATGAAATACTACCACGTGACGTCACACGATCCCTCACTGCTACAGCTGTACGTGCTGGTCCACGAGAAACAGCTGTACGTGCTGGTTCACGAGACACAGCTACAGTGCGAGGTGATGCTCTCGCACGTGACGACACGCTAGCTCTTGACGACGCACTCGTGCGTGACGAACCGCTTGCACCTGACGATCCACTGGTCCGAGATGCAACTCTTGTACGTGACGACAATGATGGTGTCCTTCTTTGTGATCCCTGTGATGTTGGGACAACACGCCCCTGTGTCCGTACAGATGATCTCGTTCGAGCAGGTGTCTGATCACACGTTCGTCCTGGAAAACATCGGTTGGTTCCCCTTTGATCTTCTAAACGACCACTTGATCGGCTAGAGCTCTGCAAAATGCAAAGAAAATATATTTAAAAACCAACATTAACTGTCTATAACAAGGCATCACGGATAGATGAGACTACAAACCTATCGAGAAAAGCTATAGGAACAATAACCCGGATTTAAAAATCTGTATAATAGATCGACAGAAGCGGATTCGGAAAAGTAACTTTAAATGAATAGGACAAATCTAATGCATTGCACTCTATGGACTGTGGAAGTATGTCACAATGGAAACGTAATGGCAGAATTATGATTTTTCGGGAAATTCGAATCGTAACGAAACAAAATGTCTTGAAGATAATTCCCCATAACATGAAGGTACTTTACAGTGTTGTACGAGCCTAGTGTATTTATCACATGCTACGTTTCATTCCTTTTAGTCTGGTACTAAACGAGCTTTGTAAGTTTTTTTTATTTGTAGTTTTGTTGTAAACAGAAATTTAGACGAGATGAAATAAACAGTAATTCATATATCTTTGGAATGAAGGCATAGGGTCATCTTTACTAAGGTCTCGAAGTCATAGGGATGTAATTCCTCATAGAAAAAAAAGTTTTTTATTACACAAAGCTGTTATGTTATTCTCATCATTTGGCAACTGTTATCTAATCATATTGCTAATTAATATGCTTTAAAATAAAACTTCTGGTGATGTATATTACAAAGTTAACACCAAGATGAATTTTAATAACGGGTCGACTTTAAAATCAAAACTTCACAAATCATATATCTAGGTCAAATTGACAATATGCCCAGACAGACGATAGTCAGTATTTTGTTATATCATGCTTGAGCTATTTCTGTATACAGGCAGATCCATTAATAACTTATATACACCATGTCTACATGGCGCCAAAGTCTGTGTCCAATGTCCATCGATATCAATAAATCGATATAACATATATTGACCAGCTGCTATAAAACAAACGTCATGCTGACTTTGATTGAGTAGTGTATCAATGAATGGCTAATATTAGAAGTGTATAGGAAAATGTTCCGGATTCGTATATACTGTAAAGATTTCTTGAGGGATTTATTTTTGTTTATTTTTAAGATACTCTACATAAAATATAAATATTTACATTGATTATGTTACTAGTTAAGATTGTAAAATTTATCTACAAAATCACGAAACCACGAAATCTGAGGACTACCAAAATACAGGATTTTACAGTATAGAGTGGACATCAATACATTTTCTTCAGCGCCAAATTGCACTAAATAAAAGAAGAAGAAAATAAAGAAATAATGTAAAAAAAAAGAGAGAGAGAGAGAGAGAGAGAGAGAAAAGATAAACTTTCGAGGGAAATAAATAGAAATTTGGGGACTTAAGACTAAAATGTGTACAGGTAAATCACAATAGATAAAATATCAAGGACGATTATAAATAAAAAAGTGGACGACGTAGCAAAATACGGACTCTGAATGAAACTGGTTGATGTCCGTCAGGATGGGTAAAAATATGCGAACCTATCAGTTAGACTTAGAAGTTATGAAATATTTTATAATGAACTTTGTATTATTGTTATACAAATTTATGAATTCAATTTCCTGTGCAATATATATGACTTACACCTTATATGTATCTGCAACACAGTTACTGTTAAACTATTCATTTTCGGAGGAGTTTTATTTTTCGTTGGATTCGTGATTACTCATAGCTTATGAATTCAAATGTTCACGAAACAAACAGTAAACGAATTAAGAATGACATATAGATAGAAATGTACAGAAGCATATTCCGACCACGTTGTAGTTTATTTTTGCTCGAAATTTCGAGTTAGTAATCCGAAATTTTGAGTTAGTAATCCGAAATCTTGAGTTAGTAAGTCGAAATTTCGAGTTGTTATCACGAATTTTCGGGTTAATATCTCGAAATTTCGACATACGAACTCAAAATTTCATATTACTAACTCGAAGTTTCGAGTTGCTATCTCTAAATTTCGAGTTGCTATTTCAAAATTTCGCATTGCTATCTCGAAATTTCGGGTTAATATATCAATATATCGAGATAAAATAAAACACAACGTGGCCTTCTTTATCAGATAGTTGTTATTCTCCAATTATAGTCAGTCAAATAAGCCGATTCGAATATACTAGTGCTAAAATGGACATCAATAGAGATAAAACGTAGAAAATAGGAATCCATAATTATCACTACAGGAGAATACACATACAAAAAAATCTTAATCCAAATTCAGAATCTAAACCGACTGTTTCTGTCATAGGTACACAATACTTCTCATATAAGCATACCGTTATATCAGCATGTTGATTTAGGAAACGAGACCAAGTAAACAGTCATTGGAATTGTATATTATTTAGGAAAATATTTAGATTAAATCATGATAAAAACAGGACATAGATGGAGATGAATCAACAAAACAGCGATATCTTAACCAAATCTAAAGCCAAACTCACAATCGTTGAAATGAGAGCGAAATATAAAAAAAAAAATTTGAGTGGAAAATATGTAATGAAATATAATAATGACACATGGCGTTCTGGAAGATGAAGCGTCTTTTGCTTCATTGACGACACAATGGAAATCTGTGTTAGAAATTACCTATCACTATACCTAACGATTAGACAAATATTTACAATATATTATAATATATTGGGTCACCATATCAATGCCTTCTTAGAAAGCGCAGAAACATCTACATTCTGTATTCCTTTACATACACAAACCCATAAGGATTACACGTATCTTAATTCTTATCTTTATCATATGTATCGCCTGGAATTTTAGAATTAAGGTTTTTTTATTCTCAAAGCTAAAATCCGGCTTTTTTAAATTTTACTTTTTTTCTTTTTTTTTTTTCCTTTTATAATTTAATAGTAATCCGATAAGACGGGGTGGGGTGGGGAGAGGGAGGGGTTGTTTAATTATGTTATATTAAAGTTCCTTTGTGCGCTGTGTTATTTGTAATTACTGTAACCCTGGTAAAATACTAGCCGCAATATACAACTCGGCTAGGGATACCTTCTCTTTAGCTCGATTGGTTGAGCGTCAGACTAGTAAGCAAGGGGTCCCAGGTTTGATTCCTAGCGGAGACGTTGAAATAAATAATGACCGCTGTTACATAACTGTTGTATCAAGTATTGAAAATGATAGTAGACAATTTTCACAGTGGCATCATCAAAATCTAATTCTTACTCAATGTAAGCCAAAGTCATGTCGAGATTATGTGAGATGAGAGAAGGAATCGGTTTCAATGAAAACGCTCTGGAAATGTGAAAATAACCGGCATATTTTGCAATGTCTACGCAAGATGTCAACACATAAAACGATTACGTCATTGACGTAATCACTTTGTGTGTGGACAGTTGTTCTAGGTGTATATTCCCATGTCACGCGCTGACAATTATGGCGGGAGATTAATTGGTCATGTTTTTGATTACGTAAAAAGAACACATTGACATTTTATGTTGCGGACGTAATTCAATGTTGATACATACAAGTAAACAATAGGACATGGCAAATTATCGAACATTTCAGCCGATTCCGGTAGAGGGTGTGATTTCCGGAAAAAATATCAAGTTGCACACTGCCGATGTGTGAAACCAACCATGTAACAGTTTACAAATAGCAGATGTCAGCAAAGTCATGTGACATCTTTTTCAATGTTTGCAGAGTATTGGTTTTAAATTTTTTTTAAAAATTGATAACTTTATTCACAATTCCAGTTTTAATTCAATGGAATTTTTCATATTTATTTTCATAAGTTTTGATATAAATTTTGACAAGTTACCGTTTTAACGATTTTTTTTGTCGACATTGTATTTCCATTGGTTGATAACAGTATCATATTTCAATAATATATGTTGAGTCTTCGTTCAAACTCTATCAAATAAATATATGTTTTCTCGGGAAAAAAATGTTTCATTTCCCATGGACATGACAATTTCGTTCTTTTCAAAATTGCACATTAAGTTTAATTTCTCGGATATCGATTTGCTTACTTTACATACTTTTTTTTTATTTTTTATTTATCGAAAAACACATGAGGAATAAATAGATTCATATATACTATCAGTATATAACTCCCACCGTCACACACTTACTGAGAATAGTCATTCATCATTTTCACCACTAAACACATAGCATTTTGAGTTGCACACTATATCTTAACAAAGATAGACACTAAGTAACACAATCACGCTAAATATATATGTATAACTTGCAGCCATACTAGCACTCCAGCATTGTTACATATACAAACAACATCAGCATCTGACATCAACGTAACTTTACAAACTTTACTCCAGCTTTAAACTAAAGCATTTTTTTTATGAAGAAATATATTTTCATACCCCTAAATCTTTTTCTCGTATTTCCTAAGACTGACCTAAATATGTCCTGGGATTTTTCTTCACTATTTCCGGATTTACATATTGATCTTTGTCAATAAGTGAATATGTTAATTTCAAATAATGATTTTGATACGGAATGACGTTCCATAACTCAATATACAGTTCTTGTTACAAGCCTCTCTTTGAATAAAAGTACGTTTTTTTAGAATCAGTAAATGTATCGTGAATTTTAAATATATTTCGAAACAAAGAATCGCGACCAGGCGGCTACAAACAGGTGTAGGGAAACTGTGATACATAATAATGTCAGAAAAAAGAACGTTTAGTTATGGTCATTAATGAGCACTACCCAGCATAAACGTTATTCAAATACCGAGAGAAGACAAAAGGAGAGACTTATTGAAAAGCAAGAGAAAGGGGGTTGGTAGTGAACTTTTAATAAGTATTTTCTTGCATGAATGTAAGCGGTATACAAGAATGTCCATGGATTGAACCGATTTTTCTTTTGTTTTGAAATACCAGAAAAAAACACCAATTAAGTTACAAATGTTCAGAATATTTGATATAAAGAGATTTAAGAAATCCTCTCTTATTCTATGTATAGGTTTCAAAACTGCTGTGGAAAAAAAATCATTCCTATATTTCTCTAGCTTTGCCATTTGGAACTGATTATCGTACTATTTTTTATGTTATAGCTGTATTAGGTTTCAAAACTACTGTGGAAAAATCATTCCTAGCTATTACTAGCTCAGTCATTCGGAACTCGAACTTGTTTCGTTAAATCTCTACGAAAAATTTCGAGGAATGTTCCTCGTTTTGTTTTTGCCACTTGCTTTAGTTATCGACTTTAACAGAAAAGAGACAACGTCGTTATTAGATACTTAAAACCACAATGAAAGTAATGTTTAAAATGCATATGATATTTTCTGATGAATTTACCCGATTCAGTTAATTGATACTTTTAATATTTAATATTGATTTGTGAAATACATTAAATAACCTGTGAATATTTCGGTATAATTATTTCAGATCTATCTAAGTTTGATAAACAGGTCGGCTTTGCTAAAAGTATGTTACAGCATTGAGGGTTTAATTTGCAGAAAATCTGTCTTCATTTATTTGCATCATCCAGACCATTTGTTTCATGTCCGTGTTTAAAATCAATAATTGTGTCTTTATACTGTATGATTTGTCTAGCTGTAATAGTAAGACTTAAGCTTGGACTTAAGCCGACTTAGACAGAAGGATGAATAACTTAAAAACCTACCGCTGCAGTTTGTATTCCGCTCCTAGTCCGGGTATTTCTACTTGACATCCGGGTATTTGTTGCACTGTCACGAGGACTGATGCCAGTGCGCTCGTCGATGGTGGACATATGGCTAGTAAATACTCCATCCGGTAAAACTAGAGAAAATACCAGGATCACTATCCAGAATGCCATTCGACTTTTCAATCGTAAGCTTATATTTCCATCCACTTCCATCGAATTCCTTTCGTTTTGTTCCAAGACGCAGTAGTTAGAAAAATTAATAGAAATATTTACAATATTTAATAACAGTAACGTGCCATGATTTCGATTCCTTTAACAATTTAACGTTGAAGTCTTTATGTTCCGAATGGATAATTTATCAATTGCTGCATTTGAAACTGATACGATATTTCATTAAAAGCTGAATTTTCTTCTCAGATTTTACACATATTTTAAAAAAAATACGTGCAAAATGTCTTCCGAGACAAACAGCTTCGACGTTTCCAGCGACAAGTGGCGTTCTAACGTCTCAGATTATTCCACTGAACTCCCATAAGTCTTTGTGATCTTTACGAGTTATAAAGTCATTGCAAAAACAATCTGCCGATGCACGTTGTAAATGTCGCTTTGTAGACAAGGCCGGCTGTCAAATAGAGCGTGATGGAGATAAATGGCCTTGACTAGATCTTTCGCGTATATCCGTCAACCATCGGGCGTTTCCGACCGACGACGGAAACACACGAATTCATTTCGACAAGATATTAAGCAATGATTTCATTTCCGCATGCCGATATGTTGGATTTTTTCGTTTAGGATGCGTCATTGGTAATCACTCACGTGATTGGTCAAGCATTGAATGATAAGCAAGTAAAGCATATCGAACACAATGGTTCATTAAACATATCAACTAGAATTGCGGTCCAGTCGCCTGCTAATTGTACCGTAGTGTTCAACGGACTATTTGATATCTATAAAACAACACTAACAGGTACTAATGACAAGGTCATGTCCAGTAGTCTTCACACTGACCAGTCACTGTCGGCGTCATGAACCGCAATAGGACATGTCAGAAGTAATTATTCAAAAAGAAAATTATCAACCAGATTTTTTTTTCTTCTCTGCAGAATATTAATGATAGGCGTATCACGCAAATATATAGTTTTTTAATTATTACTTTCTGATAAACAAGGACACTTTACCATGTAACAAAGAAAGACGTTTTTTATAACCTGTTCTCACATTGCAAAACACTTGATAATCTAGCATTTTAAAAGAAAGAAAAAACTTTCTTCCTGGCATATCTTAATTTTTTTCTCAATGTCGAGGCCACGTCAGTGAATGACGTCACATATTAGAGTGATGATGTATGAAGATCAATGATATATAAATACGTTACACAACTTAAAACTATCACCTTATCACTGGGAAAGAATATGTTGAAATAGTTGTTGAAGAATTATAGTGTTGAACGCAAAATATCGTAGAATTCGTAAACAGTACAAATAATCTGTTTGTGCGGGTTTTTTTTTTTAAATTTATTTGTCTTATTTGATTTATTATTTTTCTACTTTATTTATTTATTTATTTATTTATTTGTTGCTTTGTTTACAATCGTGGAACATCAAGACTTCCTAAAACGTACCATAACATCAATGGTCCCGTTTACAAACAGGAATATTTTATAACTACAAGAATGAATTCATTTACAATACAAACTGTGTAATCTTAACCTCTGTTGTATATCAGAAGATATTGTTTACGAACCCGCTATAGACAACAATGTCTTCGTTTAACACTAAGATTATGTTGGCACTGAAATTACATATATTGACTATGCGAAACTTCCATTGTCATTGTGAGTGCATACCAACCCTATTGGACTGGTTGTCCTGAACGTATCTCGAGAATATGTACGTCACTTATATAAATCAAAGGAAATAAAGACAGTACTTAATGAAGTTGATGCTTACAGTTAAGGAAAACACAGTACACCGGCCCGACTGACCACTGACCATTGCACCTGTGGACGGCGTAGGTGGACATCATTCTGACAGGCGAGTGGAGTTTTAACGGCCTTTCAATGCTTAATGCCTTTTTTTCTTCGCACTGTCTTTGTAATCCACACAGAGACCTACAATTTTACTATCTATAACGAGAGAATGACCTTTCAATACATAATGCCTCTCCAGTTTGACACGTTCTTTGTAAGAACAACAAGAAGATATCAACATGCCATCATAACACAAACACAAATACAATAAAACAAGTGCAAAATCTGAACAAAAGCAGATTTTCACGGAGATTCCTGAAAAGTACAAGGATAATAAGACCAGGTGTTTCGGAAGAGTAAGCGTAAAGAGTAAATGTTGATCAATTTAAATTAATGAGAATTCTAAACGATGTAAGTTGACACGGAAATATCATGTTTAGATGTGAGTAATACTGAATGGTTTTCTGGGTATTAATTATATTAGGTAAAATATATCATTCTGTTTACACTATAGAGGGGTCACGTGATATTTCTATCTATCTTCTAAACAGAACGATTGTCAAATCCGGGTGCTCCGAAAGAGTAAGCGTCTTCTGCTTCATCGACAACCACCACCATGTAAAATCTTGTCAATCCAAGTAAGTAATGTCATGCTTTCGATTTAGTCTAATGTAGAGAACAACGGAACAAACAGGTTAACTTAGTAACTAAAAGAATTTTCAGAATCTTGTAATAAAGATATCCATTTTTGAAGTTGTGAATATCGGCTTTATAAACAAATCTGAAGATTTAAACATAACAGTGAAACAATGACGTTAACTACACTATGCAGATTTGGTTTCCCTGTAAAATTTCATGAAAACTCTTTGCTCATGAATTTTCATATACCAATTAAATGTTTTAATATTTCTCGTCTCAAAAACAAGCGAATATGATCGTTGCTGTTGCATTATCAAGTACAATGAATAGAATTTCTTTCGACTTGTGAATCAGCAGAGGTTAAAGTAAGGATTGGTTAGCCCATGGTCAGCTTAAAGTTACCGTGTTCGAGAAGTGACACTTGCCCTTTAAGGTCCTATCTTGGTTACTTTTGGTTCCAGCTGTACACTATACAGTCCTAAATCGACAGAAATCAACATCGATGTCACTATTCTTGTTAGGTTAAGATTTCTTTGTGTTTTTAAGTTATGCTTTAGAGTATTTTTTATCCAACGAATTTGTTTCCGAGATCGAGTTATTCAAAATAAGTACGTCAAAACGGGATCTTTGCTCAACATTTAATCTAAAGGTCACGTGACCTAAATACAGCTGGCTGGAAGCCGTCTTAAAAGTTACAAAGTGTACACCATTGATCTATCAAATTCCCTATTCAATTAATCATTATCGATAAACTTTGTTGACAGAGAATGTCGTCATCACACAAGTAAACCTGTGACGTCACAACTATTGATGATAACAGAGATACCGCACGTGCGATTGTGTAAAATGAGATCGTGCCAACAACCACATATTCATCGTGGCAAATACCAAGTATTGTTCGCCGTGAGTATGAGGTCACTTCAGCTCATCTCTCAATATCATACTTTGATATTAATCTTCATAATTCGGGTAGTATCAAATTTGTATTTTTGTCTATTTGTGTGGTGCCACGGCAGGGAGGAGGGGGAGGGGAGGGGAAGGGGGCAACATGTTCCAAGACACCGACAATATTTTCTTTTCTTTGTAGTACTTACTGTAAGTGGCTCGGTAACTGCAAAGTCATCCCCACAGTGATGTATGGATGGCAGACGATCAAACGTGTCGTGTCTCGAGGTTCCGTCACATACGTTATCTTGATTTATAAATTGTATGTTCCTTTAGTGTCATTCCCTATAGACAATCTGACCACACTGGACAAAGACAAATGCTGTCTTATAATTTACGTAAACTTCCATAAGGAGGGAGATGTATTCGGCTTGTAATCGATTATAAGTGAGTAAATTTACAAAGTAGAAAGCAATATATTATATCTAACTAAGGTAAGACAATGTTATTGTTTAAATTATAAAAAAAAGATTCCACATGATAATATTAGATGATATATATATACGAAGTGTTGATGAATATGGAATTCAAACGTAATATAAATTTTACTGCAACATCCTATTAAAATCATGTACAAAAACACTTTTGTTCCCTACAAAACATTCAACAATATGTATTTTAAGCAACTTTATATTATATTTTGGTCAAAACAGCCTCATGTTCTAAAAACAAATCCATTCCAATTGGTCTCCTTACTGAAACTATAATTTAGTAAACAATTATAATTTGCCGATTGTGGATAACATAGACCATCAATCTGCACTGGTTTCGGGGCCGAAAACTTTAAAGCAGATTCCAAGTGCGCTAAATAGTTGGGTTTTTTCGATGCATGATATTTCAATGTGAATGATGTATACATTGTTTATTTCAGAATAGCAGGTGTTTAAAACGGAACTAAAAGGACGTTATGGACGTAGTGGTCTAGAGTTAGAATATCTAAGTCTAATCCAAAAACATTGTTAACGACAGAGGTAATTATAGAGGCATAACTTTGGTTAGTTGCAATGGGTAAATTGTTTATATCTGTTCTTAATAGAAGAATTCTGTATTGGGACAAAGACAAAAACATTATTTCTGACGCTCAATTTGGTTTCAAGGAGGGTAGTTCAACTGTAGATGCAATAATTGCACTCCAGTCATTGATCGATAAAACTTTAAAAAATAAACGAAGATTATATTGCTGTTTTGTAGACTATAAAAAAGCCTTTGACTACATCGATAGAAGTGGTTTATGGAGTAAGCTAATAAAACAAGGAATTCAAGGGAAGTTATTAAATATCATAAAATCATTGTACGATAATGTCAAATCTTGTGTCAAATATAAAGGTCATATTTCAGAATATCATCCTAACAGAACCGGTCTCTTTCAAGGGGAAATTTTATCGCCAATTTTGTATAGTCTTTATGTAAACGATTGTGAAATCAATTTCATTAACCAAAGTTGTCCATCTATTGAATTAGGTATGATATCTATATTTTTACTGATGTACGCTGATGACTCGGTTCTCATAGCTGAATCACCAAGCGGGTTGCAATCAATGCTCGATGCACTGCTTAGTTATAATGATAAATAGAAACTTAAACTTAATGTACTTAAAACAAAAATAGATTTTTTTCGAAATGGCGGGCGCATTAAAGATGATGAAAAATGGTATTACAA